TTCCGCTCTTTCTGAGTTTAGTTAGTCCTACCTGAAGTTCAAGATTAGCTCAAAACCAACTAAGAAGCATTCCAGGGCCCTCCTCAAGGCCCCAAATCTGAGTCAGCTCTCTCCCCTTTGCTCTTCTATCCTTAAGAATCTGTCTGCATCCCTGCCACACACCACATCATACTTATCAGCTATTATTCCCCCCACCAAACTGTAAGCTTCTTGCAGGAGCTAGCACCTACATATATGTAGGGCCTACCACCACGTCTAGCATGTCAAAACATTTGTCAAATCAATGTGAACTACTTACTTCTTGCCTGAAAGTTCCTAGAATTTCTCATCCTCAAGAGTTTTCCAAGGCAAACAAACAGTGAAGCAGACGACTTTCTCAGGAGCTCTAATGAAAGTAGGGGTGGTGTGTGTTAGGAGGCTGTCAAGAGATCAGCAAGAGGAAAATAAACCGCAGGACACACACCTGCCTTCTACAAAGACACCAATTTGCCTCAGTGATGCAGAGCCTTGAACTCAACACTTCAGAATGCCAGGGACCACAGTTTGGTTCCTAAATTAGTAAAACAACCCATCCAACAAAGGATAGGATTTGGCAGGTTTCAACAGAAACAGCTAGAGCCCAGCACCTGTTCCAGTTAAGCAGTGCATCATTACAGTTAAAAACAACAACAAATCTCTCTCATGAAACAAATGCTAATCTCACAATGTTGCACCACGGAACGATTTAAAAGAGTTATTATATGAAATATGCCAAAGCACGAATTTATAGCTGATGCTTATTTGGCAAATATGGTTGGCACTGCTAGATGTTGAAAAACAAGTATGCAAATAAGCAAATAAAAGTTTTTAAGCTTCCAGACTTAAATATTTACATTACCGTAAATGTACAAAGATAAATGTTTATAGGAGTGCACATATAGTGCATTCCAGGAACACATGTTTTAATGATTGTCAGGAAACAGTTATGAAGTGGCATTATTTCTTTATAGGCCTCGGGGTAGACGCTCAATAATGAATTCTGACAGAATGTTAATGGGTACGAACATTTTCATGGAAGCGTCTTCAGAGCTATCACTGGATAGAATGAATGAACAGTCATAGTATCATAGTAGTTCAGAGCGATCTTATCTCTTCCTTTCACCAAAACACTTCTTTTCCCATCTGGAACTCAGCCAAACATAGATGTCAGTCCTTCCAAAAAAAACGGGGAAGGGTGGGGAATGGATGTAACACTATCTCTGCACATCAGAACGTTTTAAAGAAAATAATTTGACATTTTCCCCACATAATATAATCATGTTGAAGTCTCCAAAATAAAGACTTAGTTCCCCCACTCCCTCTCCGACAACTATGGAAAGCTGTTTGTTTTTCTTTTCTGCATGGTTTGTGAGTTTGTCATAGGCAAAACTCAGTAGCAAGAGCAAGAACCCCGCTCCCCTTGTTTAACTTTAATCTCTGGGCTGAGACTATGGACGCCCATCTTGGAAACCAAGAAAATGTACCATACCTGCCATTAGCATTCACTAAACGAGTCACCAAAGAGAAGATGTGCCAGGCACTTGGAGAAAGTAATTAGGGTAGTCAGTCAATCGAAGTAGCAAGAACTGCTCTGAGATTCCCGAAGCCAGCATGGAGCAAGTATCCAGGCTTGCTCATGGAAAGTTTTACCCCTGTGGATAATTCACTTTTTTTTTTTTCCACTTCCACGCTGCAAGAGAGCAAGGCGAGTTCTTCTCCTACTACAGACATTACCACAACACTTCATTTTTTAAGAGGGGTGGGGAGATGGACTGGGGCTGAAAAAGCATCATCGGTAAGCAGGCCTCCAAACAAAATCCTCAAGGCAATTCCCAATGCAGGTGAAAAGCTAGTCACAAACGTACATCAACCAACGATCTAAAAATAGTCTTTTACGTAAGCCTCCAAGTATTTAATTCAAGGTATAATCTAACCACATTTAACAGAGAAGAAAAATGTATTGGGTTTTCTATGGTTGGGCCAATAAAGATGAAATCATAGTTTTCTTCTAACCCATCACTAACCCCCAACGCCAGCTTTCCAGTCCCTCCATTTCACTGCTCTCAAATTCCTGAACTTGAATCTTAAAGAAAACAACCGATTGCAAGAAAGTAAC